AACATTCTTTGAAAAGGTTGCTGCTTATGTAGATGAGGGTAGGGGCGTAGATTTGGTGTATCTGGATTTTCAGAAAGAATTTGACAAGGTGCCACATAAAAGGCTGGTAAAAAAAATAGCTCTATAGGTGTGGAGGATAAGATAGCAAATTGGATAGAAGAGTGGTTGGATGGAAGAAAGCAGAGGGTTGTTACAAACGGAGTTCAGTCAAATTGGATTAATATCACAAGTGAGGTAACTCGGGGCTTAGTCGTAGGACCTTTGCTCTTTTTGATTTACATCAATGACATAGATGCAAGAATGGTCAATAAATTATTTAAATTTGCAGATGATATTAAGGTCTTGGGTGTTGCTAGTTGTGAAGAGGATGCTGCTGATTTACAAAAGGATTTAGATCATTTAGTAAGTTGGGCAAATAAATGGCAGATGGGTTTTAATTATAATAAATGCAAGATAATGGATGTGGGCTATCATGATTTGAATTATAAGTATAATTTGGATGGGAATAGCCATAATAGTGTTATGAAGGAAAGGGATTTTTGTGTAATAGTCGATCAGTCTTCAAAGCCATCCAAGCAGTGTGCTGTTGCTAGTGGTAAGACAAATGGGATTTTAGGTTGTATCTATAAAAATATTGAATACAAGTCTAAAGAGGTTATACTTTCATTGTACAGATCACTGGTTAGGCCACATATGGAATATTGTGTTCAGTCTTGGGCTCCTTATCTTAGGAAGGACATTGAATTGTTGGAAAGGGTTCAGAGAAGGGTTACTAGAATGGTGCCTGGGATGGAGGGGTTTTCATATGAGGAGAGGCTGAAATCTCTCAAATTGTTTTCTCTTGAAAAAAGGAGATTTACTGGGGATCTTATGGAGGTGTTTATGATTGTAAAGGGAATTGATAGTGTTGATATATCATCTTTTTTTATATTTAACAATGAGAATAGTAGGACTTGGGGACACAAATATAAATCTTCAGCTAAGACAGTTTTATTTTTCTACCAGGGTGGTTTGCCTTTGGAATCGGTTGCCTTCAGACATTGTAGAGGCAATAAATTTAAGTGAGTTTAAGAAAAAGCTTGATAAGTATATGAATGAAAAGGGCTGGGTTTAAAATGTTTTTATTTAATTATTTTAATTTAGTTTTGAGGATGGAACAGCCGAGATGGACCAGTAGGTCCCATGTTGTCCCAAAATGTTATGATATGTTATTTGTCAGTAAAATGAATGTGGATGACATGAACACACTTTAAATAATATCATTCAAACAAATAATTGTAAAATTATTAACAGGTTATCTGTGAAAATGTTTACATTTTTTGACTGCCCCTTGAAAATGGATTTATTTTGCTAATTTATTTGTGTCTATGACATGTATGTTTATTGTAGATAAGTATGAGGTGTGAAGAATGCATTAAGAAAATATTTTATGTGCTTTTTATTCATGGAGATGTTGCCCTTTGCATAGGTATTTATCACTTTTTCCAAGCAATATCTGTGACCTGAAGGCATTAGATAATGAAGCGATGGGACAATTGATTGACTTTGTTGGTCTTTTAGGAATGGTTCATCAGTTTTAGATGGTTGTACTTTCAACCAATTAACTGCCACTGAAATGGCAAAGTTTCTCTCAACAACTTTATAAAATAGTCAAATATTGCATCCTTGTATACTCTGGCCACAGCTTGATGTCTAATTCAAATTGGCAGCATTATTACTAGCTTAAGCTTCATTTGGTAGTGTGGTGTTAGCAATGTAAATTTCCAAATTTGTTGCAGTATTAGTGGTTCCAATTTTATTGTGTACTGTAACACTGGCAAAACTTCTGTATCCTACCTATGATACTTGCATCTTTCTGTGTAGTGTTATCATGACATTTTCAAAGATGTTTCCTGCCATACTTCTACTTAGCAAACAGTTGTGTCACATAGCTCTTATGTCAGAAATGTATTTAAGTTTCTTTGTATATGGGTAGTCTGCCTCTAGCTGCATGAGAATCTGTTTAGTTGAAAGTTTGTGAATTGCATTAGCCATATTGCAACTAAAAGAAGGAATGACTTTTCTTCTTATAAGGACTAACATTTGTTGAACTATATTGGCACCATGTTTTGGGTGCTAACCCAAAGAGTTGGAGACTTGTCAATATTTTAAAAGTTTTCAATGCAAATTATGGTAGACAAATCAATTTCTCTGTACTTGATGTAGCATCTGGTATATTTACACATTATTGACCCTGAGGTTTCCATATTGCTCATATTATCTTGAACTTGCCTTATATTCATTCCTTAAGCCTCTAATACACTCTTGACCAAAATATATGCATAATAAATGAAAAAAGACATGATCAAAATCTTTTTTTTGTGTGTGCTTATGTAAGCAGTGTTAACAGTGCTGTAACTTAGTGATAGTGCAACTGATTTTCATTCTAAAAGTTGATTTCTATTCAGGAATAACACATTCTTATTGTGGCTGTTAAAAAATAGGTTTTGTGTTTTTTATTAATCTAGTATATGTAGATTATTAATTTTTTTATTTACTTTTACAGACAATGTTTGTTGTTGATGAAGTCAGCAATATAATCAAAGAGGTAAGTAGTAAGCTTGCATTTTTTTCCTGCATTTATTAAACATAATGATATCCAAGAAACTGTCATTCTCTTTAATTGGTGAAATCAATCAATATAAGATTCCCAGTTAAATTTTTCTTTAACTTTAGTTAAACATTTGTTGCAAGTATCAAAATATTTTTATGTTGAGTAATTACTACAAAGCTCCAGAAAGTAGAGATTATATATATGTATATTCACATAACATGAATGTACCATTATTGTAGTTTGTAAGATTCTCGTTTTTACTAGATTAGCTTTCTTCCCTATTGTTGCATGTAGTTATATTATTAGTCAGATAAGTACAGCATTGTAAATTTTGAGTCATATTGTAACATGTATGACTAGCTCAATAAAAGAGTAATCTCTGTAACTGTTTATTAATGTACGAAGACGAGTTAACAAGACAGTTCATAAACACTGGAAAAGTGACATTCAGAAGCTGATTGGTGAATCCAGTCAGGCACTAGTAGATTAAAAGATATATGATAATGCCTGCAGAAGTGATAATAAAGAAAAAATACAAATTCAAAACTTTTGTCTTTTTTTTCCTAATTTAATAATGAAATATTTATGTACCATAATTCAGTGTCACATGTTTACGATTATTAACAGAACACTATGCCCTAAGCCAATCATCAATAACGATTTTGGTGTCACATGTTTATAGTTGTTAGCATAACAATATGTCATAAGTTAGTCAACAATAAACACCTAGTAAAAAGCACATGAATGTTGAGTTACATTATACACTGTATGTTTGTGTTTGATGTAATAGGTATGTAATAAATTGATAATATATGTAATTATTATATGTGCCAACAGATGCATGCATCTGAGACAAGAAATAATGCTAATTTAATTCTTCACAATATATAGAAATAAAACCAATCACATTTTGTATACAAACTCATATTTCTCATTTTAAACTTTTCATATAAACAAGTTAAAGCTGTAACTAAATTATTTCCTGTTAGAAAAATAAAACTATCTTAATTGTAGCTTAGATTGTCATTTCCAAATCTTAGACTAGTGTCCTCTCATTCTGTTATTTTCGGTATACAGTACAAGGAAACCAAAGACCTCTATTCCAAAACATGCGTACCTCCGCTGCTACATATAGGTATTACTCGACTGCCAGGGTTTCAACTTTGCTCATCTAGGCATTGGTCTGATTTTTTTTTCTCGCTTGCTCCAATTTTTTTGCCCCATTCAATTGCTCTTGTGATATTTGTCTCGTGATACTCACCACCTACATTAACACGTTTTCTATCTTGGTACTGTATATAAGCACCTCATTCAGATGATTTTATCACTTTTTCTCAAAAAACGTTTAGACGTGGGTTTCTCTACAGAAGTGCTGGGATGGTTAACATCCATAGTTGCGATCTTGTGTCTCCTAGTGGCTTTTTGTATAATTTATATTTAATAAATATTATTAAAAAAAAAAATTGCAACATGATGTTTTCAGGCATGAATTCACAGGTTACTGTTTCCAGTACAGAGGCTAATCAGCCCTTCTCTATTTTACCTATGTTATCTAGCATCTCTCAAAGGTCGGGGGAGAGGTCACTCTTGGTTGAGGCTGTCCATGATCTGATTCGTTGTGATATGGAGACATATATTTGGTTCAGGGGTTCCGAGGCTGCTTTTGCCAGTAATCCAAGACAGTCTGGAGAGAATTTAGAATCTCTTTTTTTTTTCCGGTGCCTTTGTTTACTAGGTCAGCTTCTCACAAGGCCAATTTTGATCAGACACCTCCTGCTCCATTTCTTCAGTTAGTCAGTCAAGTATGTGAGGTTGTGGGGCTTTCTCTAGTTACCTTTGAATCTACTCCTTTCTTGATGGCTGAATGGTTTTAGGGTGACTACTTAGTTTCCTCCTTCACCTGTTATTGTTGTTCATGCTGGGAGATTTACTGCTCAGTTACATGATGGAATAGGTATGCCTTGTCCCCCACGTTTGTCTAAACAGCATGCTTTGGCTTACCACTGACAGGAAGATGTATATTTACATTCCAAAAGACTTGATCCTCTTTTGGATATGTGGTGTTCCATACTGCACCCTTTGATCACCGAACAGATCACAATTTTCTCAGATTCGTTTGACTCTCACTATTGTTCTGAGATAATTATCTTCCCTCCAAATTTTGTCAGAAGCTTATCAGTGTCCCCCACATCAATTTGAGGACAAATTGGGTCCTTTGCTGACTTCTTCCTTGGTAAGATTGTCAGTTTCTGCTCTTTCTTTGGTTTCCTGACTTGTATGTAGTTGGGATTTATTTTATAGAGATGCCTTGTTGGAGGAAGTTTGTCTACATGCTGTTGTCCTTCATGAATTAGGTGAGGTTTCTTTTCTTTGTCTCTTGGTGTTTGTGTGCATCCTAGAGGTGTTAGAATTCTGAATTGATGTGACTCATTTGCATTCTTCCTTGTTGTCATTGGCCTCTAGACTTTTTTGGCTCCTGCTGGAAGTCATGGCGTGACTGCTCGTTGTGTTTTCTGACCCCAGGCTTTTGCTCCTCAATCTTTTGGTACTCAGAATAGATTCTTTCCTTATCTTCGAGGCTCTGATGCTCAGGCAGACTATTGGCAATGGCATTGGTGATTACCTTAAGAGGGAGGGGTCTGTGGGAGTGAAGTTTCAACATTTTCTTGACACCTGGATTTCCTTCACCACAAATCCATGGGTACTTCAGGTTCTGCCATTGGGGCTGGTTATTCAGTTCACTTCTCCACCTACATTCTCCTCCCAACCAGTGGTATTTCCACCTCCAACAGATCCACAAAGTGAGGATTATTGTTCCAAGGCTATCAGAGAGTTATTGGTAAAGGGAGTGGTGGAGAAAGTCGATCCCATTCTTCCAGGATTTTATTCCCTTTATATGTTGTGCCCAAGAATAGGGGAGATTTGTGGCTGATCATTGATCTTTCTTAGATCCTCCCAGGTTCACAATGGAGTTTTTTTTTTTCTCAACCTGCATTGACATTTTTCACCAGGTCTGTGGATAACCAAGTTCAATATTGTTGATGCTTATCTCCACATTCCCATAGTGAAGTCATCCTGCCACTATCTACATTTTGTGCACAAGGGTCAGGTTCTGCAGTTCAGGGCTCTGCCCTTTGGCCTAGCATCTGCACCATATGTCTTCTGCAGAATTGTACAAGTTTTTTCTCATCACCTTCATGTTTTGGGCCTGTACACACACCATCTCATCAGTTGGCGGAACACCACATCCAGATTCTCCTTTCAGAAGCCACCAAGGCTGACTTTCATATCAGAGCCAAGAAATCCATTCTCTTGCCAACTCAATATATTGCCAGCTGGGTGTCTTTTTCAACATGTGTTTAAGCCAGACTCAGCCAACTCGCATACAGCTCCAGGCTATGGAATGGGCAGTCAGGCTCTTGCTTACATCTTCTTCTCCTACTGCACAGATGGTTCTCTCTCTCTTTTGGGGATGTGAGCCTCCCTCCAATCTCTGATTCCTTTGGGACGAGCACACATGCAGTCCCTTCAGTGGTTGCTGCATGACCAGTGGATCATGAACTGTGTTCCACTGAATCATCCATTTTCCTTAATCAGGAGCAACATCTTTGATCTCAAGTTGTGATTGGATTGGACCAACACTACCATCTGTGTTCCTATATTGTCCCCTCTTCCCGATATTCGTCTCTTCACAGATGCCTCACTTCAGGGAGGGAGTGCATATATCGATGGTCAGGAATTCCAAGGTCTGTGGATGGAAGATGAATCTTCCTTCCATATCAATATTTTAGAACTTCTTGCTGTCCAATGAGCAATGGATCAAGATCTTGATCTATTGAAGGGGAAAATCATCATGATTCATTCCGACAATTACACAGTGGTCTCTTACATTTTCCATCCTAGGGGCACACATTTTCGGGACCTTTGTTTTTGAACTTTGGATATTCTCTACTGGGCTCACTCCCATCATATCAGCCTCCTGGCTTGCCATGTTCCAGGGATGATGAATTTAATAGCAGATCACTTGTCTCAGCCCAACTGAATTCTCCCGAGTGAATGGATGCTCCAGTGAGAGGTTTTCCGGTAGATTTGCACTCAGTTCAAGACTTCAATGATCAATGCATTCACCACTTATTGAAACTCTCAATTACAGGAATTTAGGTCCCTGGTACCTCATCCTCAGGCCTTAGTGATAGATGCATTCAGTCAAGATTGGATGGGATTGCACCTCTATGCCTTTCTCTCAATTCGTCTGTTACCAATAGTTCTGGCTATGATTCGATCCACCACTTGTCAAGTACTATTGGTAGCCCCAAATTGGCTGGCCCAACCATGGTTTCCTCTTCTACAGTCCTTCAAGAGTGTCCACTTCTGCCACTTTCTTTTTGGCCATCTTTGTTGAGGCAACCCCGATCCAACATTCTAAACCCAGACATTTCCAAGCCCAAACTTCATGTATGAAAGTTATGTGGTCCTTCGCATGGCATTGGGGTTTAACTTGTTTAAAGTTGCCTCGTATTTGTCTCAATCTATCCGTAGACCCACAAGGGCCATTTGTAAACAGAAATGGCACACTTATTACCAGTGGTGTCCCACAATGAAATTGAACCCACTTCACCCAGATGTGCCCACCTGCCTTTTTGACAAAGGTCTAACTTCATTTACTGTCAATTAATATAAGGCAGGTTTATCGATTACTTTTCAATATTCTAAACATCACAAAGTATTTGAATCCCTTGTGCTATTGGCCTTTGTAAATAATTTAGAGTCCTTCGTCCCAAATAACCTTTTCCATTACCCAACTGGGATATTAAAGTGGTATTACATGCTTTGTCTCAACATCCATTCAAGCTTTTAGCCTCATATACCATGTATCACCTTTCCCTTAAAGTGTATTTTTTGTTGCTGCTGGCATGTTGTCAGAGTTGTTTGCACTACATGCACAAGGGACTCTTTATCTTTCCACTTATGTACTGCTATACCCTGATAGGTCC